GTGTGTTTTTTTTAAAAAATTTAGGTGGTTATTTAGGTTGGTGTGTCCTGTTTGGAGTTTAGTGATTACTCTGTCGATTTTTTTTTATGGATGGAGAATTTTTGGTTTGGTTAGTGGTTTGCTGAGCACCTTTTTGATTTGGCTATTTGAGTTTAGATATAGGTTATGCCATTTTTTGTGATTTTTTGTTTGTTTACACTTTTAATTTCTGATTTTGAGATGGGTAAGTTTAAGCTTATTTCTGGGATTTTGAGGGATAGTTTAGCTGCTTTATCGGCGTTTTCATTACCGTATATTCCTACGTGGGCGGGTTTTCACAAAAAGGTTATTTGTTTGCCTGCCTTGAGCTAAGCACATGCTGAAATGCCTCCAAGGCAATGCCTAAATGAACAGGCCTAAAAAACGACACACTGACAAGATCGTCTCATTGTACAAATTGCACTGCGCAATAGATTAACATCTGATGATGTGTGCAATAGAGTATAATATAACAGAAACAATGCCAGGAAGACGAATTTCAACAGCTATCGTTAAAAAACGGATTTATGCAACCAGCCTGAATGCAAGGCGTCCTTTGAAGGATGTGAGAAATAAGCTAAAATCGTTACTTTGTTTGCTACCTGTCGGCTGGGCGTTTTCAGCTTAAACAATTTTGGGTATCGTTTACGTTTCATGATCACCAACTGCGCAGTTGTATGTTTCATGATAAATGCCTGTTGGTGTCTATGAGTTTATCGTGAGTTTAAGTGTGTATGTTAATGTTATCTCTGGGGGGTAGCACATACCGAAGTCGTTGCACACAAGTAGTTGTGGGAACGTTGCAGCCTCACTGCATCACATCAGGGCTGTGTATGTGCAGTTGTTTTCGTCAAAGTGTGCAGGCATGCGTAATGTCTCTGAATTACATTATAGTTTAAATTGCATAACAAGAAGCTTGAATAACATTCTAAGTGTGCAGCATGCGTAATGTCTCTGAATTACATTATAGTTTAAATTGCATAACAAGAAGCTTGAATAACATTCTAAGTGTGCAGGCATGCGTAATGTCTCTGAATTACATTATAGTTTAAATTGCATAACAAGAAGCTTGAATAACATTGGGTGAAGTGAAAGAAACACCCTCTAACTAATGTCCCAGGAAATACATCAGTCACGGCATTGTGAGCTGCACGTTCAAAGTCCAACTAATGTGGGACACTCATTTAAAGGTATCTCTAAAGAACACCACGCTTAATAATTTAAATGTGGGACACTCATTTAAAGGTATCTCTAAAGAACACCACGCTTAATAATTTAAATGTGGGACACTCATATAAAGGTATCGGTAATCGGATTAAGTAATTACCCGCTAGAATAGGTGAAATGCACTCAGCTGAAAATGTGGCTCTACCGGCAATAGCCATTTCTGAAATGTGGCTCTCCCGGCTAGACACCGCACTGACAGGTAAAAGGCAATAGGCAAACGGGGGGCAGGAGGTAATTAGCACTGACAGGTAAAAGGCAATAGGCAAACGGGCAGCAGGGGGTAATTAGCACTGACGGGTAATATACAATAGGCAAACGGGGGTCAGGGGGTAATTAGCACTGACGGGTAATATACAATAGGCAAACGGGGGGGAAGGGGGTAATTAGCACTGACAGGTAAAAGGCAATAGGCAAACGGGGGGCAGGGGGTAATTAGCACTGACAGGCAATAGCAATAGGCAAACGGGGGGCAGGGGGTTATTAGCACTGATAGGTAAAAGGCAATAGGCAAACGGGGGGCAGGGGGTAACTAGCACTGATAGGTTTAAAGCAATAGGCAAACGGGGGGCAGGGGGTAATTAGCACTGACAGGCAATAGCAATAGGGAAACGTGAGACAGGGGGTTATTAGCACTGATAGGTAAAAGGCAGTAGGCAAACGTGAGACAGGGGGTAACTAGCACTGATAGGTTTAAAGCAATAGGGAAACGGGGGGCAGGGGGTAATTAGCACTGACAGGCAATAGCAATAGGCAAACGTGAGACAGGGGGTTATTAGCACTGATAGGTAAAATGCAGTAGGCAAACGTGAGACAGGGGGTAACTAGCACTGATAGGTTTAAAGCAATAGGGAAACGGGGGGCAGGGGGTAATTAGCACTGACAGGCAATAGCAATAGGCAAACGTGAGACAGGGGGTTATTAGCACTGATAGGTAAAAGGCAGTAGGCAAACGTGAGACAGGGGGTAACTAGCACTGATAGGTTTAAAGCAATAGGGAAACGTGAGACAGGGGGTAACTAGCACTGATAGGTTTAAAGCAATAGGCAAACGTGAGACAGGGGGTAACTAGCACTGATAGGTTTAAAGCAATAGGCAAACGTGAGACAGGGGGTTATTAGCACTGATAGGTTTAAAGCAATAGGCAAACGTGAGACAGGGGGTAACTAGCACTGATAGGTTTAAAGCAATAGGCAAACGTGAGACAGGGGGTTATTAGCACTGGTAGGTTTAAAGCAATAGGCAAACGTGAGACAGGGGGTTATTAGCACTGATAGGTTTAAAGCAATAGGCAAACGTGAGACAGGGGGTTATTAGCACTGATAGGTTTAAAGCAATAGGCAAACGTGAGACAGGGGGTAACTAGCACTGATAGGTTTAAAGCAATAGGCAAACGTGAGACAGGGGGTAACTAGCACTGATAGGTTTAAAGCAATAGGCAAACGTGAGACAGGGGGTAACTAGCACTGATAGGTTTAAAGCAATAGGCAAACGTGAGACAGGGGGTTATTAGCACTGAAATGGCTATTGACAAATGGAAGCCAGCTGGATAATAAGCACAGACAATAATCAAAGCAATAAGTCTCAAGCACTAGGCAGATAGGCTGTCTTGTTACAGTTCATGGCTGGCTGGTGTCTCCTACTGTCAATGGCTTCTTGTAATTGTATTTGTTGATATAAAATATTTAATTTATTTACCGCAAACAAGTTATGATATGATTGTGCTTGTGTGATGAGTAAGGTCGTGTAAATTGAGTGAGTGAGTGGGTATGTTTTTTCACTGCCTTTAGCAATATTCCAGCACAATCACGACAGGGACACCAGGAATGGGCTTCACACATTTTACCCACACACAAGTGGAGAATCGAACGCTTTAACCACTAGGCTACCCCACCGCCCCCAAGTAAGTTGGATTACATCTGTGGAAGTTGTTTCTATAGGTTAAGGTTTGGGTACAGGTGGCTGTTGTAAATGTATGAAACATGTTTCAGCAACGTTTGAAGGCCAACTTCCAACAAATGTGGCACATTGACTTACTTGCAAATTCAAAATGTCCTATTATGTAACATTTTATAAATTGTGAAAACTTTTTGAAGAAAATTACTCGTTTTCGTTGAACATGTAAACTTCGTAACTTAAGTGAGTGAGTGTTTGCTTTTACGCCGCTTTTAGCAATATTCCAACAATAGCACGGCGGGGGACACAAGAAATGGGCTTCACGCATTGTACCCATCTCGGGAATCGAACCCGGGTCTTCAGGTTGCTCGTGAACGTTTTAAGCACAAGGCTACCCGCCGCCCGCGTAACTTAAACTGCCTTGAAGAGGAACACGAACTTGCTAGTCATAGACAGAGAGAGCCCGGAGAGCGGAAGGTCCGAGGTTCGATCGGAGGCCGCATCATACCAAATGACGTTAAAAAGGTGGTACTTGTTGTTACCCCGCCTGGCGCCCGGCATTAAGGGGCTAAAACAAGGATTCGTCGACTCGGAGTCAGTGTAGTGTGTCTGAGTGGGGTATTCGTGTTAAACTGCGACATGGTAGGCTAGCTCAGGAGGCTGGCACGATATAATCGATACTAGTACTAGTACAAGCAGCCTCACAATATAAGTGCAATAAACTTGGTCGCGACGTCAAACCCCACTTCACCTCATCTCACCTTCAACTGCAGTGTACGTACTGTTAAGTGAATGATTACATAGGAATGTTTGGATCTATGAAGCATGAGTTGTGCAGTGTTGTGCGGCGTCAGGCAACATACTTTTTTACAGACTGTGCCAGTGGCGGGTGCTGCCTGTAGAGCGGGACAGGTTTTCCCAGGCCGCGAACACCTGGTGTCATCAATGGTGTTCAGTGATCCATTGAGATAAGTGTTACCGCTATGTTGTCTTGTACGCCCATTGGAATATGTTTCGGGGCATAATCAGCACTGTTTTTTATATTTACATAAGAAATTCATAGCCAAAGAAAAACTGCTGGGATTAAAAAAGTCATTGTAAACGACATAATAATATGTGTATGCAGTTAACGCTTTAAGAGGGGAGTGTGAGTTTGTGTGTGTGTGTATGTGTGTATGTGTGTGTGTGGGGGGGGGTTATAGTTAATATGTACGTGAACGTCAATCCCCATATGTAATTGATTAATGTAACAAGCCTAGAAATAGCAAAACGATGGGATGACGATTTTCTTAATGTTTCACAACCAGACAATCCAGTGATTGACATTTGAAATGCAAACATATACTGTAAGATCCGGGGGGAATACTTGCACTGATTCTCGCATGTCCTTATAAGCAAATTAGAAACATGTACGTCACTATAAGAATATACAACGTCGTATCGCGCTATTCCAGCAGAACACCACGTGTCATCACTGGTTGATACAGACTCATATCACATGCGTATCAGAGAGTCGGAACCGTCATACAATGGACTTCATATTAGAGGACACAGTTACACAATCCATGATTCTCCACAAACTCAGCGCTGCGCAATGAGGTGTCAAATCAAAATAGTTGTACACGCATGTATAAAGTCTGTGTCAGGTACAAACAAGCCCTGGTGTTCTGTTCCCACCTCTCGGTAATCATCACATCTGTCAGTAGCTGCAACATACGTCCAACAGCTGCCTCCCGCCCACGTGACCACATCCGCGCTTTTCTACCTATTATGGAGTATTCCTCAAAGTGCCTATCACAATATCAAATATCAACTTGAGTTCAGAATACGTTCTGCAGGCTGAAGAACAACCGTCAGTCGCAATGGTATCTGAAGGAGTGGTATTTGGTGCCGCCGATTATGTTGTGTTTGCTCTTGTGCTGGCGGTGTCTGCAGCAATCGGGGTATTTTATGCATTTTGGGGAAACAGACAGAAAACAACGGGAGAGTTTCTGATGGGAGGACGAGATATGAAAATTGTGCCCGTCGCCATTTCCATCCTCGTGTCCTTCATGTCCGCCATCTTGATTCTGGGAACCCCTGCTGAGATGTATCGAGAAGGGACGCAGTACTACCTGTACACGTTTGGATTAATTGGTGCCATTGTGATATCTGCCGTGTTGTACGTCCCCCTCCTGTATCCGCTGAAGTACACAAGCTCATTTGAGGTAAAGTACTCACAGTCACGTTCATTGCAGCACGCCACTGATGACGTCAATGTTTTAATTACACAGATCTCTGAAGTTTACAAGTTCGAGGTACAATATTCCCTGCAAGACATCGAGAACCAACCAATTCAACAACAAAAACACGTGCAACAGTTTGGCTTCGGAAAATGTCAATGTATACTCACTGCCAAAAGACACGCGACACCATACATGTTGGTTAATATTTATAAAAATACTCATATTCAAGCGATATTAGATTGGTTAGATGCAGAAACAAACATACTGGTATGTTGTGTGAACCGACACTCATGCACGCATGACATATATCATATATCCATGACTCGCTAGGGGTGCGACGACACCGAGCGTGATGGTAGGACGCACGATGTCGATTCCTCTTAAATTTGAGAATAGAACATTTGTTTTCTGGCTTCTGAATTAACCGATCAAGACTTAACCGATTAAATTAACTCATTTGACTTTATCGGCATAACAGAAACACGTATGAAAGATATAGACATGAGTTTGATATTTCCAGGATTCATGGATTCATGTTTATTTGATGATTGGGGGAGACTTGAATGCCAGAACTAACACTGAATCTGGTTTTGTAGAAGATATCCTTGAATATCTCGAGGGACATGATAACAGTGTATGGGGATTTCTGTTAGACAATTTTTAAAAAAATCTGTGCATTTATCTCCGCTTAATTTTTGGTAAGAGCTGACTTGATTTATGTAGAATGCTGAATATACATATAATGAATGGAAGATGCGGGTCAGACGCAGGCGTGGGAGATTTTACTTTTATAGGAATCCAGAATGCGAGTGTGGTGGATTTTGATATTTGCCATAGGAGTTGTTTGATATTTGCCACAGCTTTGATAGACCGTCTCGAGCCGAGTCATCACACCTTCCTGTCACGACTAGTATACGTACGCTTCTAGTAAGTGACCCTACGCCACGCAATACACATAAAAATGCTTCCTTCAAATTCGTGTGGGTTGAAGAGAAGGCTGAACATTTTAGAACAAAACTTATATCTGGGACTGCGCATGATTTACTGGAGAAAGCTGTAGACGTAGCATTTGTTAAAGTTGAAGTAAGTATTGGGTATTATCGCTGCATCTGATAAAAAGAAAATTAATAAGGGCTATAAATATGACAACGGTTTGATAGCAAATGCCAGCTACAGCTAAAAAGGAACGATGTAGACGTTTAAATAAGTTTAGAAAGAATAAGGATAGAGGTTCACTAATAAACTATAATAGAGTAAGAACTGACTACAAAGATGTTTGTAAGAAAACAAAAGACAGAATATTGCGATCAAAAACAGAAACTGTTGCTGTATTTGTAGATTTTACAAAAAGCTTTGGCATTGTGAAAAGGGTTAACTTGTAGACTCTCTTTCAAAGACATCGGCTAAGTAGCAGAATTGAAATGTTATTTTGTTCTCTATATACAAATGTGAAGATATATGTCCTAAACAATGTATATTTAGAAGATTTCTATTTGCCTTTTTTTATAAATGAATTAGCATATCAAATCCAAAGTAATTGCACTGATGGAACACAACTGCGTGAAAGTTTGAAAATCAGGGGCAGCATGTCCTTATACGAATAGAGACATTTTGTGGTAACACTTGACTTATTGTTATTAATTAGTAGACTTTGGAAACCGCGCTTCTTAACGCACACATTTCTCTGTATGTTTCTGGTTCGCGTTTCTTTTAGCTGTGAGAATATGTTGGGCGAGAAGGGCCATCGTCCTCAAAGACGATGTTAGGATGCGGTGAACAATGTTGCCCTCATGTGGTGCACAATGTTGCTCTGATGTGGTGCACAATGTTGCTACGACATGGTGCTCGATTGTTGCTATAACGTGGTGCACAATGTTGCTATAACGTGGTGCACAATGTTGTTATACCGTGGTGCACAATGTTGCTACGAAATGGTGCTCAATGTTGCTATAACGTGGTGCACAATGTCGCTATGGCATGGTGCTCAATACTGCTATAACGTGGTGCACAATGTTGCTATAACGTGGTGCTCAATGTTGCTATAACGTGGTGCACAATGTTGCTATAAAGTTGTGCACAAAGTTGCTATAACGTGGTGCACAATCTTGCTATAACGTGGTGCACAATATGGCTATACCGTGGTGCAAAATGTTGCTATAACGTGGTGCTCAATGTTGCTATACCGTGGTGCACAATGTTGCTATAACGTGGTGCACAATATTGCTATAACGTGGTGCACAATGTTCCTTTACCGTGGTGCACAATATGGCTATACCGTGGTGCTCAATGTGGCTATGACGTGCTGCACAATATTGCTATAACGTGGTGCACAATATTGCTATAACGTGGTGCACAATATTGCTATAACGTGGTGCACAATATTGCTATAATGTGGTGCACAATATTGGTAAGACGTGGTGCACAATGTTGCTATGACATGGTGCACAATGTTGCTATAACGTGGTGCACAATGTTGCTCTGATGTGGTGCACAATGTTGCTATGACGTGGTGCACAATGCTGCTATAACGTGGTGCACAATATTGGTAAGGCGTGGTGCACAATATTGGTAAGACGTGGTGCACAATGTTGCTATAACGTGGTGCACAATGTTGCTACGATGTGGTGCACAATGTTGCTATAACGTGGTGCACAAGGTTCGTATAACGTGGTGCACAATGTTGCCATAGCGTGGTGCACAATGTTGCTATAACGTGCTGCACAATGTTTCTATAACGTGGTGCACAAGGTTGCTATGATGTGGTGCACAATGTTGCTACGATGTGGTGCACAATCTTGCTATAACGTGGTGCACAATGTTGCTATAACGTGGTGCACAATATTGGTAAGACGTGGTGCACAATGTTGCTATAACGGGGTGCACAATGTTGCTACGATGTGGTGCACAATGTTGCTATAACGTGGTGCACAAGGTTGGTATAACGTGGTGCACAATGTTGCCATAGCGTGGTGCACAATGTTGCTATAACGTGGTGCACAATGTTGCTTTGATGTGCTGCACAATGTTGCTATAACGTGGTGCACAAGGTTGCTATAACGTGGTGCACAATATTGGTAAGACGTGGTGCACAATGTTTCTATAACGTGGTGCACAATGTTGCTATAACGTGGTGCACAATGTTGCTTTGATGTGGTGCACAATGTTGCCATAGCGTGGTGCACAATGTTGCTATAACGTGGTGCACAATGTTGCTTTGATGTGGTGCACAATGTTGCTATAACGTGGTGCACAAGGTTGCTATAACGTGGTGCACAATATTGGTAAGACGTGGTGCACAATATTGCTATAACGTGGTGCACAATGTTCCTTTACCGTGGTGCACAATATGGCTATACCGTGGTGCTCAATGTGGCTATGACGTGCTGCACAATATTGCTATAACGTGGTGCACAATATTGCTATAACGTGGTGCACAATATTGCTATAACGTGGTGCACAATATTGCTATAATGTGGTGCACAATATTGGTAAGACGTGGTGCACAATGTTGCTATGACATGGTGCACAATGTTGCTATAACGTGGTGCACAATGTTGCTCTGATGTGGTGCACAATGTTGCTATGACGTGGTGCACAATGTTGTTATAACGTTGTGCACAATATTGGTAAGGCGTGGTGCACAATATTGGTAAGACGTGGTGCACAATGTTGCTATAACGTGGTGCACAATGTTGCTACGATGTGGTGCACAATGTTGCTATAACGTGGTGCACAAGGTTGGTATAACGTGGTGCACAATGTTGCCATAGCGTGGTGCACAATGTTGCTATAACGTGGTGCACAATGTTGCTATAACGTGGTGCACAAGGTAGCTATGATGTGGTGCACAATGTTGCTACGATGTGGTGCACAATCTTGCTATAACGTGGTGCCCAATGTTGCTATAACGTGGTGCACAATATTGGTAAGACGTGGTTCACAATGTTGCTATAACGTGGTGCACAATGTTGCTACGATGTGGTGCACAATGTTGCTATAACGTGGTGCACAAGGTTGGTATAACGTGGTGCACAATGTTGCCATAGCGTGGTGCACAATGTTGCTATAACGTGGTGCACAATGTTGCTTTGATGTGGTGCACAATGTTGCTATAACGTGGTGCACAAGGTTGCTATAACGTGGTGCACAATATTGGTAAGACGTGGTGCACAATGTTTCTATAACGTGGTGCACAATGTTGCTATGATGTGGTGCACAATAATGCTTTGATGTGGTGCACAATGTTGCCATAGCGTGGTGCACAATGTTGCTATAACGTGGTGCACAATGTTGCTTTGATGTGGTGCACAATGTTGCTATAACGTGGTGCACAAGGTTGCTATAACGTGGTGCACAATATTGGTAAGACGTGGTGCACAATGTTGCTATAACGTGGTGCACAATGTTGCTTTGATGTGCTGCACAATGTTGCTATAACGTGGTGCACAATGTTGCTAGAACGTGGTGCACAATATTGGTAAGACGTTGTGCACAATGTTGCCATAACGTGGTGCACAATGTTGCTTTGATGTGGTGCACAATGTTGCTATAACGCGGTGCACAAGGTTGCTATAACGTGGTACACAATGTTGCTATAACGTGGTGCTCAAGGTTGCTATAACGTGGTGCACAAGGTTGCTATAACGTGGTGCACAATGTTGCTGTAACGTGGTGCACAAATTTGCTATAACGTGGTGCTCAAGGTTCCTATAACGTGGTGCACAATGTTGCTATAACGCGGTGCACAATGTTGCTATAACGTGGTGCACAAGGCTGCTATAACGTGGTACACAATGTTGCTATAACGTGGTGCACAAGGCTGCTATAACGTGGTGCTCAAGGTTGCTATAACGTGGTGCACAATGTTGCTATAACGCGGTGCACAATGTTGCTATAACGTGGTGCACAAGGCTGCTATAACGTGGTACACAATGTTGCTATAACGTGGTACACAAGGCTGCTACAACGTGGTGCACAATGTT